CTTTTTTTCTTTTTCTGAAAAGATTCTTATGCTTGTAAGATTTTTGTTCAGTTCTTCTTCTTCTTTTTCTTCCTCTCTTCTTCTTGGTTGTGTGTTGATCAAACCAAACCTGAGATGAGTTTTTCAGTTAATTCTCCTTTGAATCAGCTGATTAACATTAATGAAAAGTTTGTGAATTTTGATGAGTTACTTAAGATTGATTTCAACTTCTAGAAGATTGTGTCTAAACAAGGTTGGAATGGCTACTTTGAGATATTCTGTGGTTTCACTTATCCAAGTCTTGTCAAAGAGTTTTGGATCAATGCCTTCATTATTGAGCTGAATTCTGAGTATGTTATTCTGTCTAGAGTAACTAGTGTTTCTATTACATTAACCTCTAATGTGATTTCAAATGTGATTAATTGTGAGGATATTGGAGAAATCCCAAGAACTCTTGTTTAGGAACACTATCTTCCTTCATGGCGTATCTTTGTAGACCCATCTAATACATCAGAGGTCTCAAATCTTCTTCCAGATGCTGTTGTTTAGAACCAGATTCTAAATTCAAACTTACTTCCTAAGGATAAGGATTTAGACCAAGTAGACCCTATTGAAAAATATCTCCTTCTACTTCTTAATTCAGATTTGAAGATTGATCTTCCTCAAGTTATGTTTGACCATCTGAAGAGGTCTCTTTCTTCTTTTCATAAGGGAAAGATCTTTTTCATTCCTTATGGACGAGTTATTTCTGAAATGATTGTTCAACAAAGGGTTAACATAAGTTCTGAGGCTAATTCTTCTAAGATTTGGAGATACAAGTTTGAAACTATCTATGAAAGATTTCGATGTTAGATTTCTGCATAGTTATGCTTTGTATGTTGTTGAAATCTTTGTATTAAGCATCTTATTAATAAATTTAGTGTTTGTTCATGCTCGTGTTCAGTTTTAACTGATTAATATTTATTCTTGTTGTTCAATGAGAATTTGAAATAGATAAAATAACTCAAATGTTTGCAACTTATTTTATTAATAAAAAGGAAGCTATTACAAGACAATTAGATTTTTCTAGTCTAATGGATGTGTCATAAGGAACTCCCTAGGATCATCTGACATGTCTGGATTATCTAAGAAATCTTGTCGTTCTTCCTTAGAAAACTTCAAAGCCTCCTTTCTTAGTTTGTTTCTGCGTCTGGATCCAGAAGATCTTCTTTTATTGTGTGTCTTCACAAAGGATGTTGAAGAGGATAGCACTTCTGAAGTTGTCTGCTTACTTGAGTTGTTGCATTCAGTAGTGTTGCCTTCCTGAAATCTCTCCTTGGAACCCATATTTGCTTTTGCTTATACATCTTGGTGTTTTAGGGATTAAGTGATGATGGAAGAAAGCTTACTAGAGTCCTTTTATAGATGTGTTACATACATTATCTTGAGGTTAATATTATTTAAGTACTGATTAAATCTTATCAGTATTCTAATAATGACTCTTGGAAATATGATATACCAGTCTAACCTATTAAGATTCTCTAAATAACTATGAGTTTATGTCTGATCTATTTTAACTGTCGTTTTTGTGTCAGTTTTACTTTGTTAATGTACCTTCAAAAAATCTAAAGAAATTAATGGAATATAATTGCATGCTAAAGTAGTATTGGTCAGAAAAACTATTTCATTAATATTAAACTGATGGATTACAAAATGTTTTTTAAAAAAGGAACAAGGTGATTCTAGAAGAGATCCCTAGTTAATGCATCTCGTGCCCAACAGCGTCCATTTTTGTTATAGTCCACCTCTTCGTCTTCTGAATCAATCACTTCTTTCTCTTTTATGTCTGGAAGATAGCAACATAACTGCTTGTTGACCCCCTTTTCTTCTTCTTTGAACTCTTCATGCTCTTTCTCTGTGACTTCAAAGCAGCTACTGTTGAACCTTCTTCTGAAGTTCGTTCAAGTACTACTAAAGTTGCCTCTTCTGTAGAAAGCATTACTGAGGGCAAATGCTCAGTTGTAGAGGACTCAGAAGCAGCTCACCTCTAAGGGGATTGGATTACCAAACTTGTAGAGCTCTCGGTTGCGTCTGTTACACGGATGCATTATGATTCTCAGTTGATGATTCCATATCTCTAGGTTGGTGATTGATAAAAATGACTTAGGAGTTTGATGCTTTTATAATGGCTTATATGGATACCAAGAGTCTCTAAATCAATACTTGTTTAATTCTTAGAATAATAGCGACCACTAAGACTTCAAAGCACGCACTTTACAATCCTTAATGACTCTTACAGCTTTTACAATCCTTAAAGGAAACAAACCAACAGTTGATTACTTTAGAGTTTTTGGTTGTACAGTCTTTTCCCAGATTCCTGATGAAAAATGGAAGAAGCTTGATACTAAATTTGAGAAATGTATATTTATTGGTATCAGCGTGCATTCAAAAGCTTACTGGTTGTACAATTCGGTCACAAAAAAGATAATAATTAGTCGAGGTGTGGTTTTCGATGAAAGCAAAATATTGAAGTAGACCGTTGATAGCACCAAAGAGTACATTTTAGTAAGTGGTGATGAATTTGAAGAAGAAAAACATGATACACCTTCAATTTCTATTATCACATATTCACAATCTGCTCCCTCACCAAATTCACAAGTAGAAGCGGAAGATGAAGTTTCAAATGAACCTAAACTCCAATGCATAATAATAAGGTCATCATGGATGCAAGGTTATGAGATTAGTGGAATCAATCAAATTGATTATCCAGTTTCTTATTTTGCTTTATTTTCAAACCATGATCCCATTACTTTTTATGATGCCATCAAAAATACAAAGTGGAAGAAGGCCATGGGTGAGGAGATTGAAGCAATAGAGAAAAACAAAACTTGGGACTTAACAAACCTTCCAAAGGGACAAAAATATATTGGAGTAAAATGGATGTATAAGACAAAACTCAATGCAGATGGTAAGGTGGATAAATACAAGGCTCGATTGGTAGTTAAAGGCTATAAGTAAGAATATGGGATTGATTATAAAGAGGTATTTGCTCTAATGGCTAGACTTGGCACAATCAGATTGGTTATTTTAATTGCATCTTAAAATTCGTCTATTTATTAATTTGACGTGTAGTCTGGCTTTTTACATGGTGAATTGCAATAAGAGGTCTATGTTGAGCAACCATTGCGATACGAAAAGCAAGGGAATGAGAAGAAAATTTGCAAGTTAAAGAAGACATTATATGGACTGAAATAAGCACCATGAGCTCGATATTTTCGTATAGAGTCTTATTTCATTAGCGCGGGCTTTCATAAATGTCCATATGAGCACATGTTTTTCATTAAGCTTGCAGATGATGAGAAAATACTTGTAGTATGCTTATATGTTGATGACTTGATCTTCACAAGTAATGATAAAGTCATTATGGATGCATTTAAAGCTTCTATGATGATTGAATTTGATATGACAGATTTGGGTCTGATGAATTACTTTCTTGGCCTTGAAGTAGTACAATCAATTGCTAGAATTTTTATGTCACAAAAGAAGTATATTTTGGAGATTGTGAGTAGGTTCCAAATGGAAGAATGCAATGTAGTGTGCACTCCTACATCTGCATATCGGAAGATAAAAAGGGATTTAAAGGAGAATAAGGTAGATTCCACTCTCTATAAGCAAATTGTAGGAAGTTTGATGTATCTAACTTCAACTAGGCCAAATATCATGCATGTTGTCAACCTTATTAGCCAGTATATGAAGAACCCAACGAAGTTACACCTCCTGGAAGCTAAAAGAATTTTCAGGTATTTGAAAGGAACAATTGACTATGGAATGTTGTATAAAAAATGAGAGCAAAAGTGTTTGTTTGGCTTCAACGACAGTTACTATGCTAGAGATGAAGATGACAGGAAAAACACGTATGGATATATCTTCATGATGGTATCGTGTGCAATTTCTTGGTCATAAAAAAAACCAATAGTCACTTTGTCCACTACTGAAGTAGAGTTTATCATAACTACATCATGTGTTTGCCAAGCCATTTGGTTGAGAAGGTTAATTAGAGAGCTTGAATATTATGAAGAAGAGCCCACACTACTATTTTGTGATAATATTTTTGCAATCAAGCTATCAAAGAATTTTGTCTTACATAGGAGGAGCAAATATATGGATGTTAGATTTTACTTCTTGCGTAATCTATGCAAGGACAGTGTTATTGATGTTATATATTGCAAGAGTGAGTAGCAGATTGCAGATATAATCACAAAACTTTTCAAGACTATCGTGTTTGAGAAGTTTAAAAAGCATGTTAAGAGTTTTGTTGGAAAATGATATTATTCCCAATGATTAAAATTTAATTGATGAAATTCCTTGATGTAACCTGATGTCCACGTGACCTTCAGTTTAAGGGAGGAAAATGTTATAATTTAATTATTTTGTTTTAAATAAATGTTGATTATTAGGGAGTAGTTATTGAGTTGTTTGACTAGTATTTTATTAAAGTTATTAAGCTCCACTTTAGGATTTGGTAGTGGGATTTAAGATGTGGTATTGAGTGGATATTTAATTCCTATTTAAAAGGCTAAACATGTAAATTTCAACTTTTCTCTATATTTTGTGTTACTGTTATTTGCAAGTGTTCCAACATTTTGGTAACTAATTAAACAAGAATTAATATGGAATCTTTTAACTTAAAAAGTTAAGAGACCCATAAAAATATTTTTGAAGATAAGTGATTAAAATAAAGCTCAATGTTAACATACGGCAAAAAGAAAAGTATTAAGCCTATAATAAAATGAGAACTTAAAATTTAGCAATTTTAATTTATTGAATTTTACTCTAAATATGTAGTTTGCATTTCACATAGCCGTAGTTTTTGCCTACACATTCGCTTGGCCCTTCCTTCCTATATATGATGAATCAGATTCTCATTCAAACAACCGTAAGTTTATTCTCACAACCATGCAGTTTCTTTCTTCTTCTTTTTCTTCCTAATTTCAATCATATTTCCTTTTATGTAGGGTGAAAAGAACAAGGAAGAACTCCTCATGCGGTTCAACACCATCTACGGTGTTGCCAAGGAGTGCTCCACCGAGCTCAGGCCGAGCATCAAGACCGTGGAAGAAACCGTCAAAAGTTTGGTAGGACCTGTCCACGAAAAGTTTCACCTCGTTCCCGATGAGATCCTCCGTCACACTGATCAAGACCACCACCTTGCCGTACACCTGACACCGGTTGCCAACATAGCCACCGTGTCTGAAATGGCTGTGAGAATTTACGCGAAATGCGAGCCTGTCGCAGAGAAGAATGTGGCTTCTACGTGGAGGAAGGTGAAACAGTCTCCGGTGTTCCATCGGGTGGCGAGTGTGGTTGCGTCGAAGGCCGCGATTTGCATAGAGAAGTACAACGATGCGGTTATCGGCGCCGCAGAGAAGGGTTGTAAGGTATCAGCGTACACGCCTTTGGTGCATAGAGATATATATAGCTATGGTGTTTAGTGAATTTTGAAGCGCGAATCAATCCATCTCTTATTTATTCTTTTTTCTTAGTAATTTGTTACTGGATGTGATTGAAGTTACAGATATTCTGTGTTTGTAAATTAACAAATAAAAACAAAAATAGAGCATTTAGTCTAACTATTTGATTTTAATGTTATGTTTTCTCCTCCCATATATTTTTTTTATAAGCTTCCATTGTGTTTCCTTTATATTTGTTGTGAGTATAATGTTAGTGAACTTTAATGTCCAAAGAGGGTCTCAATCTCTTAGATATGTGAACCAGTGGCCATCTCTTCCGGCCTTTAGTGGACATATTTATAGTAGTTCTGACTTTAATCTTACCTTTAAGTCTTTGATTGTTATGTGTCTAATGTTTCGGTTGCCATTCACGTCCTTTTTATTTGTCTGGGTGTCAAAAGAGGGAATCATATTTCAATCCGTTATATGACTTGATGTTTGAGTCAGCCGCATGGTATTGTGAGCACATATGATTAGGACATGGTTCCATATTGGTAACGCTGGTTTAAGTATTTTATGAGGGTTCAACGTGCTGAATGACGAATGGGCTGAAATAAGAGACGTGCCGGTTGATAGCTCTTCAAGTATGAGATATGTAAGACTGAAGTGATTAAGTGAAGATATGTTTGGTCAATGGACATGGTCCCTCAAACATAAAGTTTGTAAGGATGAAGTGATTAAAGAAGAGTCTGACAATTTACGATCTCTTTAGCATGAGGTCGATAAAAAAATGATTAAGAAAAGACTTATGATTTAGTGGACATATCAATTCACACTCTCTCAAACACAATGTCTATATGATTAAAGATGCCTATATGATTGATGAAAAGGTGTGACAATTTATAATCCCTCAAACATATAGCATATAAGAACGAAGTGTTTAAACGAACACATGACATATTATGGTCTCTCATATGCCTGAGACTTATAAGAAGAAGTAACTAAAATAAGACATGGTTCTTCACTCTATAAAAAAATACTATTTTTTAGGTTATATCAGATTATTAAAGAAAAAATTTCTTGACAAAATTAAGTCATTGTTCTTTGAGAATGAAATTATAATGATAATATTAGTGCATTCTATTTTATTGAATACACCCTAAATTTAATATATAAAATATGTCTGATATTATAAAAGATAAAATGAGTTATATCATAATTCAATATACTCTGTTCATCTTTTATAAAATCAAACAATGAAATATAATTTTATCCTACTCAAATTCTATTTCATTCTAATAATTTATATCAATTCAAATAGTAGACTTTGTTGAGTGTTTAGAAAACAAAATATTACTCTTCTTTCTAGGTCATTCGAAAGGTCCACCATCAAAGGGTGGCTTCCGTTGTAATAGAACTCAACACCGATATAATTCCTTGTACAAATCACTGATATAGTTTTTATTATCACGACAACAACAAAAGGCACTCGCTCGACTAGCGTACGCAACATCGACCCACGACTACTACTGTAATAAATGCTCTCGGTCTGATGTGAGATATTACAATCTTGATTTTTTTTTAGATGCATTGTGTTAGTTAGTTTTAGTTCAACCATGATAAAACAAATATGGGTCTTATTTAGTCATTGTATAACCATGACAATTCTATTATAAAGTCTTATGTTATAATCCATCTTGCACACTCTCAAAGACGGCTCTAGTGAGGGAGGTTCCAAATTCTCTGGCTACTTAAAATATTCTAGTCTTAGTTACTCCTCCTTCAATTTCAACATTACATGATTTAACACCTCCAACAATTTGACAAGGGACGTTCCAAGATCTTCTAACCTTCTTTACAGCGGCTCAAAGTTCAAACATCAAATCAGCCTTTGTCGTAACATATAATTCGTGGACATGAAATGCTCCACAGTTACTAGCTAGTTTAGACACACAAGTGGAAAATAATCCGCAAAACAATATTTATAACCTAGTACAACATAAAAATTCACATTTCCTCGATGAATGAATATTTCATATTGAAGAAAACTAATAAATCGCTTCATCGAGGGATAATTTTGTGCGAGAAACCATTTCACATGACGAGCAGAGAGTTGAACCAGAAACTATCCTCGTCAACCCTTATTCACCATACAACACGACCCCCAAATGAGCGGACCTCATTTTGCGTTGAAGACACCAAACTCCACTTCATGGTTGTGAAGGCAAGAGACGAAAGCCACACGCTGTCGGGTGATCGTTGTCATCATCGATTGCCATTACAAATCAAGAGCATAATACAACAATTACAAAGAGAATAAAACTCATCAACTGTACATATAATCTAACCACCCAGGACTATGCGGTTATACTTGAGATTTTCTAATGAAATCTCGACGTCAGAGTGAAAAAGCTCTACCTATTTAAATGCATCATCGAAGAACTCCCAGAGACTGGAAAAACTCATGAAATATATCATCATAGTTCTTCTCTACCTTCACCTTAGCCAAATCTGATGTGGCCAGGGCTATATATTTCTTGCCAATGGCTTTATGTTGCTCAATGACTATTTTCTAAAGAATGGTCACCAAAAGCTTTCATCGCCTATGCCTTAGACGCCTCTAAAACTTTCACATACTCTACCTTGTAGTCTTACAAAGCTTTCACTTGCTTCTTTATGGTGTCTATTTCTTCACGAACCTTTGCATAACCAGATACCTCACTTAGGCCACTCGTCATAAAAAAAAGTGACAATGCAAAGCTTAAGTGGGTGATGAACGAATTCTGCCACTAGTTTCTGGCAAGCATGAATGCCCATCCGAGCATAATGTTTACCTTTATTGTAGGTACCCTTTGTTCACCAAAGAATCATCTCAACTGCATCAGAAATCTTTCATTTTCTGCTCCAGTTTAGGATAAACATTATCATAAAGTATACTTTTTTCATCATTAATACATCTTAGAAAGTAAAATAATTTTAAAATGTGTTAAGTAAGAATATATTATATATCTTTTATATAAATTTACTGTTGTAATTTATGAACAATAAATGTCCATGGGTGTGTTTTAAAATGACAAGAAAAGTGGAAGTGAGTAAATGCCAATAAATGATTGGGAAATAGTCCTACATAGAAAGTTTGACTCACTTTAAAAGTCTTTATAAAGAGTTATGAGCATTAACTCAACAAAAGGACAAAAGAGGATAAAATGTCACATGGACAAGTGTGGTGGTCTCAAGCATTATGCCACTTGTTTCCTTCATACACTCCCTCGCCAATGTCGCCATTGGTGACATCGACTCCGGGGCTGGGTGTGAGGGCGTGGGCGTAGAGGCACTAGTGGCATCTTGTAGGCGGGACATGAGCACTTAGGCACGACGCATGGAAGCAACCGGGATACTCGCAGCGTTATGAGGCAGCGTCGCTGACGCTCTGGCGGGCGGCCTTCGACCGAGCTCATTATTGCTCTCGTTTTGGTCTATGCATGCGTTTGAATTTTAAACATAGACAATGCTACATAATGAACATAGACAATGCTTGGAAACAATGCAACTTTTGGTTAAAAGGTGTTGTTTATCAAGGGTCGCAACCTTGTGAAACAACACATACATGACCTATAAATACTCCATTCCGGAATTCAGAAAATCATATCACAAATCGAAAATTCTCTTGTACAAATTCCAAATACTCTTCGCTACAAATCGAGTTTTCACCGGTCTTACGCAAATTCGATATAAGGCTGAATTATCTTGGGTATTTCTGCGTTTCAACTCTAAGACATTCAAGAGAATGTTTGAAATACTTTTAAGAAAAGTGACATTATTCGCAATTCAGTCCTGGATCCATTCAACTTTACCGATATTTCTAACATTTACACTTTCCCCTTTTAATAACTGAAAAAATAAACAAAAAAGGGTAGTGCTAATTGTGCCCTTGAGGCACAAGTTAAAGAATCTATAAATATAAAATTCGTATTGAGAAAAACAATAAAATCATTAATTATAATTTTACATTAACTTCAATACACAATTTTCAATAAAGTTTTACTATATTTATCTCTTAACTTATGCCCTAAAGACACAAGTTAGCATTACCCGACAAAAAATACTAACCTATTTAAAGTTATATTCTTTTTCAAAGTCTTTTAATTCAGGTCGTGTTTGGAATGGTTTTATATTTATATTTTGAAATTCAAAAAACTAAAATAATTTTTTATTGAGTTTTAAAAATATTTAATCTCAAAGTCAATTTTGAATTACAAAATTTTCAAAAGGTAAATTAATTTTAAATATAAAACTAAATATTGTAAATATATTTAAACCAAAATAATTCATACCATTAAATTTATAAAACAGTTAAAATATTACAATGATAAAAATGTTTACTTAATAGTAATTTTGATATTAGTGGTATAAAAATGATGGTTGTTTGCATATGTTTATCAGAATAGTGATTGACTATGATCATATTGGTGGTGGTGAGAATGATAGTTGATGGTGGTCGGATTGCTATTTAATGGTGGTAAAATTGATGGTCAATGGTTGTGATAAATGATAATCATAGTGGTTGTTTTCGGTGATTTTGTCATCGATAGTTATTAAAATAGGGATGTAAATGAATATTTATGAGAACAAATACTATGATATTCGTATTCACTATGTTGGATAAATATGATATTAATATCCGCCCCTAACCTATGCGGGTATCCGTTAAGCAGATAATCCACGGGTTTTACGGTATAAATTTTTTTTTTTCAAAAAAATATTTTTAAAGTTGGATAATCCGCCCCATACCTATGTTGGATAAATTATTTTTAAAGACACAAAAAGTTATTATTACATAACATCTATACAATTTGCTCTTAATTTAACAATAAAACTTTATCACATTAATTTTTTTTTATTCACCAAAACATAATATCCATACATTTTATTTTTAACCAAATAAATAAAAAATATTATGATTGCGAGTTATGATGGAAGAGCGGACGATAGAGGAGTAGGGAGAGAGACAGAGAAATGACGACACTAGTTGGTTGGACTGT